CGAGCTTAGCAGCTGTGTGGGGTGGGAAGGGAGTGGGGTGGGGTGCTGGTGAGCAGAGGAAACAGGAGCCCAGACCCTAGTGTGTGTGTATTTGTGTAGTACTTAGAATCATAGAAACATAAAGTTGGAAGGGACCCCAAGCGTCATCTAGTCCAACATGCTGCAATGCAAGAATCTCAACTAAATCATACATGACAGGTGCTCATTCAACCTCTGCTTTGAAACCTCAGAGGAAGGAGAGTCCACCAGCTCTTGTGAGAGTCTGTCCCACTGTTGAACAGCTCTTACTGTCAGAAAGTTCTTCCTGATGTTTTGTGGGGAATCTCCTTTCTTGCAACTCGAAGCCATGGGTTCGAGTCCTACCCTCCAAAGCAGAAGGAAAGAAGCTTGTTCCCTCTTCCATGTGACAGCCCTTGAGATACAGTGGCACCTCGGGTTAAGTACTTAATTCATTCCCGAGGTCCGTACTTAACCTGAAACTGTTCTTAACCTGAAGCGCCACTTTAGCTAATGGGGCCTCCTGATGCTGCTGCGCCACCGGAGCACGATTTCTGTTCTCATCCTGAAGCAAAGTTCTTAACCTGAAGCACTATTTCTGGGTTAGCGGAGTCTGTAACCTGAAGCGTATGTAACCTGAAGCATATGTAACCCGAGGTACCACTGTATTTGAAGATGGCTATCATATCTCCTCAGTCTCCTCTTTACCAGGCTAAACATGCCCAATTCCCTCAACCATTTCTCATATGGCTGAGTTTCCAAACCCTCAATCATCTTGGTCGCCCTCCTCTGCACATGTTCCAGCTTGTTAATATCCTCCTTAAATTGCAGTGCTCAGAAATGAACACAGTACTCCAAGGCAGAATGAAGCGGTATGCTTACGTCTTCACACAGCACACAAACTATGGACCAGTTGCATAGGAGGCAGTGACAGCCACCAACGAAAAGATGGCTACTAGCCATAATGACTAAGCCCAGGGTCGGAGGCAGTAAATGCTTCTGAATACCTGTTGCTGGAAACCAAGGGAGTGGGAAGAGTGCTCTTGTGTTTGAGTCCCGCTTGCAGGTTTCCCACGGTCACCTGGTTGGCCAGAGAACAGGATGCTGGAGGTGGTAGACCTTTTGACCTGATACAGCAGCCAGGCTGTTATTTCATTCCCATGCATAATCCAAATCTATGCAAACTATTAGTGAGAGCTGTAGTTAAGCCATCTATTAGCAATCCCCACACTCATCCTTGTCATTCCAAACACTGTTATCACCTGCGTGTTTATATCTCCCGGAGACAACTATCTTCAAAAGTGGCAGGATGGTTAGAACATACGACATCAAATGGAACATCCCCTGAAGGCTCTGCAATATGATCTATATCACCGAGGGCAAAAAACTAAAACAAAAACCAGCCCCAGGGATGTCGCATCGAATATGTAGGTAAAACAACAACCAACCTACGCACACATTTTAGAAACCATAAATCTGCAATCTTGATTGAAGGAGTGGAGCAACCAGTTGCTGGACGTTCCAGTTCTCAGAACCACAGCCTGTCAGTAATTGCTAAAGAGATGCTCAGAGATCCACCAATGTTTGCAAAGAGGGAGAACCGCTGGATGGACGCACTGGACACATTTGCACCACATGGCCTCAAGGAGAGCACATGGAGGATACCAACAGCATTGCTTATCTTCAGTGAGTGATGATGATGATATATTATTTATACCCCACTGATCCGGCTGGGTTTCCCCAGCCACTCTGGGCGGCTCCCAACAGAATATTAAAAACACAATGAAACATCAAACATTAAAAACTTCCCTAAACACTTGGCTGCCTTCAGCTGCCTTCTAAAAGTCAGATAGTTGTTTATTTCCTTGACATCTGAAGGGAGGGCGTTGCACAGGGCAGGCGCCACTACCGAAAAGGCCCTCTGCCAGGTTCCCTGTAACCTCACTTCTCGCAGTGAGGGAACCCCCAGAAGGCCCTCAGATCTGGACCTCAGTGTTTTGCCTGAACGATGGGGGTGGAGATGCTCCTTCAGCTCTTGTGAGTGGTCCATTCTCAATGCTGTTTACAGGCAGTCCTTGTTTTGCAAAGGGGTTACGTTCCGGACCACCATGTACATCGGCCTGGCCCACGGGAAGTGTTCTGCCCCGGCCCCGTTCCGCCCTTTTAGTGACATTTTAGTGACATTTTTGGGCCACTTCTGAGTCCGGCGCCTTGCACACGTGCATGATTTCACACCCATCGGACATGCGTAAACTGGGAGCTGCCTGTAACTGCCGCCTTGGTAACAGCATAGTTTCTGAAATATACTTGGAGTTGAGAGTGGATTTCATGCTCTTTATTCAGCTCATAGTGGTGAGGAGGAATGGAAGTTCCCCCAGAATGTCTGCTTTATATACATTATTTACACAATGGGCCCCATGTGATTGGCTAATTCCGGGATTCTCCTGTAGGCCAATCAGGTTGTGGATTCACTTCCACCTGGAGCTGGATTGGGTGGCTCCTGTGGACCAATCAGACTGCTGCAGTCTGAATCCTATTGTTCTAGGACCAATCAGACTGCTGCATTTTGCTATTCAGCTCAGTACCTAACAGTTTCCGATTTTGTCAGAGCTGAAAGCTGAAATGCTGATGCCGAAAGCCATATAAATTATAGAACTGTAGAGTCGGAAAGGATCCCAAGGGTCATTGTGTCTGACCCCCTGCTGCAATGCAGGAATCACAGCCAAAGAATCCCTGACAGACAGCCATCCAAACTCTGTTTAGAAACCTCCAGTGATGGAGAGCCCACTACCGTCCCAGGTCATCCGCTCCACTGTTGAGGGGCTCTTACTGCCAAGAAGTTCTTTCCAATGTTCACTCTGAATTTCATTTATTGTAATTTGAACCGCCCTGTCCTCTGGAGCTGCAGTATATGAGCTTGCTCCATCTTCCATGTGACAAGTCCTTCAGATCCAGGAAAATGGCGATCGTGCATGAAGTGCCGTTTGATGCTTTAAAAACTATCTGTCTGTTGGTAACAAAATAATTCAGCAAGGGTAAACACAGGTTATAGGTCCTGGGTTACCTAGCTGTGCCAGGGATGATGGGAGTTGGAGTCTAACAATATCTGGATGACACCACTTTGGTTTTCCCTTGCTGTAGGCTGACACTTTGTTAGGAAGCTGATTGCTTACATGGCTCCGGAGACTCGCCATTGATCAAAAGGGCGAAGACAAGCGAAAGGGAAAGCGGGGCTTCTAGCATGACCCAGGAAAGCTGGAAAACCATTTATTGCAAAATAATAATAATTTATTATTTATACCCCGCCCATCTGGCTGGGTTTCCCCAGCCACTCTGGGCGGCTTCCAACAAAACACTAAAATACAATAACCTATTAAACATTAAAAGCTTCCCTAAACAGGGCTGCGGTCAGATGTCTTCTAAAGGTTTGGTAGTTATTTTTGTCTTTGACATCTGGTGGGAGGGCGTTCCACAGGGCAGGTGCCACTACCAAGAAGGCCCTCTGCCTGGCTCCCTGTAACTTGGCTTCTCGCAGCGAGGGAACCACCAGAAGGCCCTCGGCGCTGGACCTCAGTGAAACTGTTTATTGAAGCTCTACACTTCCAAGGGTTCCCGCCCCTTTTTCTTCTCCTTTTTTCTTACTTCACTTTTGTGCCCTGCCTTATTTTAAAGACTCAGGGAGTACAGCTCCCTTGCGAGCTAGGACTGATGGCTGCTCTAGACCTATGTGCACACCACACTTAAAAAACACATGGCTCCTGCAAAGATCCCAGGAACTAGGGTTTGTGAAGTGCGCTGGGAATTTCAACTCTCTGATTACAGCCCCCAGGATTCTTTGGAGGGAGGAGTCATGTGTTTAAAATGCATTGTGTGTACACCTCCAAAACATCAGGAGGCCACCAAAGAGGAAAATGGTTGCACTAAACCATGGTTTAGCATAACATCCAAATACAGGCAGACAGTTAAACTGTGGTTGGGAGCCTGTGTCTCTCTGGACATTGCTGAACTACAACTCCCACCAGCCCCAGCCAGCCTGACCAATGGCCAGGGAAGGTGGGATTTGTAGTTCTGTAAGACCTGGCGAGCCGTAGGCTAGCAAATATACTGCAAGCCACTTTGAAAACTTTGGTTAGTAGACAGGGTATCCATATTCTTAAATTTATTGGTTGCTAATTCACCGAGGTGCCTCAAAGCGACTTAACAATATGTAAGCAAACACGTGCACTAAAACCGATATAAAAGAAAAAAACAAAGAAAAATCTAAAAGACAATCTTATTTTTAAAAGGCAGAAAATTATGCGTGGGAGAAGTGCAAAGAACTGTATGCTAGTCAAAACTGCAGGCAGAAAAAGTATTTGTTAGGATAAGTTCGTATTAATGGCTGTAGAATTTTTAGGAGGATTTAGAGAGAGAGAGAAACACACATTGGTGCAGACCTGGATTTAAGGTTAGAAAAATGAGAAATAGAGGGAAGCGAAATCGACAGACCCTTCCATCCCTATCTATTTGTTGACGAGAGTATGTTTCAACTCCAGTTTTCCAATAATGAGAATAAGGACTTCTGCTCTTGTATCTGGGGTATCTCCAGGTGACCAGAAAATGTCCTCATTTGCTTGAGCAAAGGCTTACGCAGTAGTTAGACTGTGCCTGCTGAGCATCCATTCTGATTTCTTTACAGGGTGGATATGTAACAGTGAGCATTCAACTTGCATTCATCTTGATTTGCTTGCGGGGCCGTTACGCCTTAATCGTATCTTCATCCCACACTTTTCATTATGTCTCCCCAACACTTTCCCAGCAGCAAAAAGTCAAGGCTTTTAGTATTTGTTTTGTAAAATCTGGATTGGTTGTACGTAGGCGAATTAGCGCTTTAATCCCCTTTAATTGGGCAACCAAAATTTCCGGGATGGGCCCGAATCCTTCCTGAAAAATGGCGAAATTCTGGAGACACTCCCGTTCTCAATCTTGACTGGCAGATCGTTCCTGCAGTATGTCAGGGAGTGGCCGTAGCTCAGTGGTTAGAGCACCTGCCTTGCACACAAAAGGTCGCAGGGTCAATCCCTGGAATCTCCAGGTAGGGCTGCCTGAAACCCTGGAGACCTGCTGCCAGTCCGTGTAGACAATACTTAGCTAGATGGACCAAGCGGCTGACTCAGTATCAGCCAGCTTCTTGTGCCAACAAATGTTGTTTTCCAGCTCCTGTCATCGCCCCTGACCATTGGCCAGGCCCTTTTACCGCAGTTTTAAAACTACTGCACTGTAGTTCATATCCAGGCCCCATTTAAAGTGCTCACATTTTTGTTTAACACCCTACATGACTTAGGCTCCAAATATCTGAGCGACTTCCTCTGTCCTGACAGGCCCTCTGGGTGCTAAGAACAGAAGAGGGGGCCCTCTTGTTCTACCTCTCTCAGAAATCTGGGTGCTGGTTGTTAAGTTGTGGGTGAACATATCAGACGACACAGCGATTCTTCAAACAGCTCTTGTTTATTCACAGGCTAGAACAGAACAGAACTGAAGGGTTCATCCAGCCTGCTTATATAGAGCTCCACTACAACGCAACAGTAACAACTTTCTGTAACTATCCAATCACTGAACGTCACTTTCAATTCCTTATTTGCATATGTGGACCTGAGTGAAAACTATCTACAGTATCCCCCTGCTGGCCCAGGGTGAGAACTTCAGAACATAACACTGGTGGTCTAGAAGAGGGCCTTCTCTGCGCCAGCCCCTACGTCGTAGAATTCCTTCCCTGTCTGGCACCTTCCCTGTACAGCTTTCAGCCAGTGCTAAAGACAACCTCTTTACCCTGGCTTTTGACACCTGAGAGGTGTGTCTTCAGGGTCCACCCAGTTTTTAATTGTTGGAGCCTGCTCTGGGACCTGCTGGTGGAGGGCAGGAAATAAATTTAATGATAATAATGCTGGCTGGGGATGATGGGAGTAGGAGTCTAACAACCTCTGCAGGGCCCCACACTGGCCATTTCTAAGAGAAGGCACCCCCCCTAAACACCCCCAAAGGGGAAATGGGCAGCCTGTATTACACAGATATTAGGGTTGCCATATTTCAAAAAGTAAAAACCAGAACACCTTGAAAGTTGTTGTTGAGCTTTTTTTTTTAAGGAAGGCCCCAAAATTCTTGAGCCTTTTGAAGGAAAACTCGAAAATTGTTCAGCTTTTTTTAGACAAACCCCCAAGCTGCTGAGCTTTTTTTTAAACCCCTCCCAACAATATCAGAGCAGCCTCGGCATACAGTGGTACCTCGGGTTACATACGCTTCAGGTTACATATGCTTCAGGTTACAGACTCCACTAACCCAGAAATAGTGCTTCAAGTTAAGAACTTTGCTTCAGGATGAGAACAGAAATCGTGCTCCGGCGGTGCGGCGGCAGCAAGAGGCCCCATTAGCTAAAGTGGTGCTTCAGGTTAAGAACAGTTTCAGGTTAAGAACGGACCTCCGGAACAAATTAAGTACTTAACCTGAGGTACCACTGTATTTGGTAGCTTCAGGCAACAAGGCATTTTTCTGCATCTTACTTTCTTGGGGAGGGTATGGGATATTACGGGAGGGGACGCAACTATCCTTCTGGGATCGTTTGTCTGTCTTTGGTCCCTACCCTGCAGTCAGCTCTCACCTGTGGCTCCCACAAGCTGTCAGCATGTGACAGTGGCCACATCCTGGGAATGGCTTCAACTGGCCAGCTAAACCAAGTGAAGGTACCTGGCGACTTTGGGATTTCCCTTGCATGAGAAGACAGGCTCTGGCGGATTGAGCCGGCGAGACCAATAGTGGGTCCAATGGTCAAGAAGGTGGTTTCTCTATGTGCTGTAGAGGGAAGTGAGGGGCAAATGGAGCTGATCAACCTGGGAAGGTAGCCCATCTAGGAGAAGGAAAACTCTCATCCTAAACCTCTGCTGCCTTGCAGGATATCTTTGGGAGAAGAGTTTGGATTTGATATCCCGCTTTATCACTACCCGAAGGAGTCTCAAAGCGGCTAACATTCTCCTTTCCCTTCCTCCCCCACAACAAACACTCTGTGAGGTGAGTGGGGCTGAGAGACTTCAGAGAAGCCTGACTAGCCCAAGGTCACCCAGCAGCTGCATGTGGAGGAGCGGGGAAGCAAACCCGGTTCCCCAGATTACGAGTCTTCAGCTCTTAACCACTACACCACACTGGCAACCAAGATGTATTTGGCTAAGTCCCTAAGATGGTTGGATGGTGCTTTGTATGACTCCTTCTGGCAATGCCTGCAGCCCAGCTGGTGCCAAATGTATTGCTCTGCTTTCGTTTGGACCACATCAGTGAGGATGAGAGGGTGGTCTTGTCATCTGGGCAGCCCAGGACCTCCAAACACATTGCCCAGTTTTACACCCTGGGAAGGTCACTTTGGTGCTGCTGATACAGTGGTTTGACTTCACTCCTGGAGGCACACTCCATTGTCTCTCGAGACAGACGGATGCCAACGATTCTCCTCGGGTAGGAAATTGCCTTTCCTCTCCCAAGAGAGCAGCACTGAAATTTAATCATTAATCCCCACCCCCATTTTGACCTTGTTCCATACAAGCAAACAAAGCAAAAGGTATCCATTCACTTGGATGGAATGAAGAAGAATAGGCCCGCAATGGGACAGTTGGGAGACTGTATCCACACCTACACACTTTTAAAAAGCAAACAAACCAATAAAGCTGGAGCACCTGTACTTAGCTACCCATTCACTTGGATGGAATGAGAACTTGGAAGCAACGAGAAGGAAGGAGCTTGCAATGGGGAACCTGGGACATGGTTTCCACACATGCACACTTTTTAAAAAAGAGAAAAACACAACAACCCTAGAGCCCATGGATATCAGCCACCCATTCACATGTATGGAATTAACACTTGGACGGAATGAGGAGAAAAGGGCTTGCAACTGGACACTTGGAGGGTTGTGGCAACCCTCTTACATTTAAAACAACAGCTTAGGGATGCCCACTAGACTACAGACGCCCTAGGCAAGAGGCTTGTACTGCCTGAGTTTGTCTGGCCTCATATTATTATTATTATTTCTCTGAAATACGAAAAAATGCTCACTTACCTTCAACTCTGATTCCTTCCTGAGATGCCAGAAAGTCCTCCACACACAGAACAGTTTCCCGCAGAAGAAAATGTCAAAATCCCAGCTTCTTCTCTGCTTTGGCGAATTGCATCCATCCCGAGACACAAACCAACCGCACGACTTGGATCCTTTCTTCGGGATGAGGAGCGAATGCCGTTCCTGTAATGTACTGTGATTTATTTGCATGCGGGAGAAAACAAGTCAGCAGAGGTGTTGAAACCATTTTTTTGCAAGACGGGTTTGCCTAATAACACACTGTCATTATTGGTGAGATTAAAATACCAGGTTGGTGACTGGAACCAGCAGAGCAGAGCTGGATAGACAAAGGGCTGAGTGGAGAAAGAAGCTGGCCTGGGTAGGAAGCTGGCAGCATGATGGACTCCAGGACGTGACGGCCCTGCTGATCTGGTCCAGCAGTCGGAAGGATGCCACAAGCTTCACCGACTTGGGTGGATTTAAAAGAGGACCAGTCAAATTGATGGAGGATGCGACTCAGTGGCCACTGTGAGAGCCGGATGCTGGACCAGATGGGTCCTTGGCTTGATCCAGCAGTGTTCTTTTGATACCTGCATTGCGGGAGGTTAGGCTAGAAGACCCTTGGTGTTCCTTCCAACTCTATGGTATTATCTGTAAAGGGAAAGGGACCCCTGGCCATTAGGTCCAGTCGTGGCTGATGCTGGGGTTGCGGCGCTCATCTCGCTTTAGAGGCCGAGGGAGCAGCTTCCGGGTCATGTGGCCAGCATGACTAAGCCGCTTCTGGCGAATCAGAGCAGCGCACGGAAACGCCATTTACCTTCCCACCGGAGCGGTACCTATTTATCTACTTGCACTTTGATGTGCTTTCGAACTGCTAGGTGGACAGGAGCAGGGGCCGAGCAACGGGAGCTCACCCCGTCACGGAGATTCGAACCACTGACCTTCTGATCGGCAAGCCCTAGGCTCTGTGGTTTAACCCACAGTGCCACCCGCGCCCCGGTATTATCTGTAGTTGAAACAAAAACACACAGAGAGAGGAGAGAACCAAGCACTATAAACTGACTGAAGAGTCCAGGGCAGTTGCAACCCTTCGGTGTTGTAAATCCGGGTGTATATTTTATATACAGTACCGTCAGCGTTGCAAGAATAGTAATCCAGTTTCTCTTTCTCTCTCCAGAACAAAAAAATGATAAAACTCCTTAATTATATGTTATGATTTAGACAGGGCTTTTAATCCTCAATTTCATCTTCCTAATTGCTTGCCATTTGGAAGTTCCTTTCATCTCACAGAAACCTAACGAAGCACCTTTTAAAATTGTCCGTGGTCATTTTTTCTTAGCCCTCTCCTATAAGTATTTTTATAGGCCACCCAAATCTCTGCTGAGGGTTGCGAGATTCCAGAGGTCTTGGCACTTAACCAGGGTTTGTGTTTCCTTTGGAAAAACGAGGCATGGCAGAGACTGTAGTGTCTTTAAGATATATGGTTTTATTTACACACATCTACACGGGTGGCGCTGTGGGTTAAACCACAGAGCCTAGGACTTGCCAATCAAAAGGTCGGCGGTTCAAATCCCCGCAACAGAGTGAGCTCCTGTTGCTCGGTCCCTGCTCCTGCCAACCTAGCAGGTCCGTTCTTAACCTGAAACTGTTCTTAACCTGAAGCACCACTTTAGCTAATGAGGCCTCCCGCTGCCACCACACTGCCACCGCTCAATTTCTGTTCTCATCCTGAAGCAAAGTTCTTAACCCGAGGTACTATTTCTGGGTTAGCGGAGTCTGTAACCTGAAGCGTATGCAACCTGAAGCGTATGTAACCTGAGGTACCACCGTATAGCCATTTCGCAAAGAAGGCGCTATCTAAACATGCTCAGGGGATGCTCAGATCCATTTGCCAAACTGTTCACCAAAGACTGTTTACCAAAGACCTGAGGAACCAAGGTAAATTATGTATATAATTTTAATTATGTATATAAGAAGTCACACTTCTTATATAAGAATTATGTACATAAGAAGTCATACTTACACATAACATGATTCACTGTACTCTAATCGGCGCCTGCTAAAAACATTTTTCTTTAGGCAACTCTATCCAGCCATGTGGAATGTTGGAATGTGTTTTAATTTGCTTTTCAGCTGATCGTTGGTTTTAATTATTTTTGAAGGTTTTGGATTCTTGGGCTTGTTTTTAAATGAGAATTTAATTGTTTTATTGTTTTTTGCAAACTGCTTTGCTTTTTTGGGGGGTTGTTGTTTTTAGAATAATGTGGTTTGTAGAACAAAAAGAAATTAATAAAAATAATGCACCCTTCTTTATTCTTGTTATTGGGTGAATACCTTTAGAGATGCTCGTTTCTGACTTCCGGGGTGGCGCCATCGGTAATGGCGGACTCCCTCTGATCCGGAGGGACTGGCTCCACGAAAAACGGGTCTGTTCCGCTACGGCGAAGCGGGGACCCTTCAAAAAATCACAGGCGGAGGAAGCCTGTGACCATGGGACTCGGCGGGCACCTTTCGCGCCCCCCCAATCCGTAAAGGAACCCAACTACGGGCTCCGGAGCGAAGAGGGGCTAGTGGCGCGGTGCTGAGAGTCAACTGCTTCTTCCGTGGAGCGAAGCCGCACAGCCGTTGCCAGAGAGCGCTACCTTTTTCCTGGGACAATTTGGTTACAAAAACAACTACCCGTGGCAGATCAAATTTGGACAATTGGACTTTAAACAACGATCTGTGAGTAGAAGGGAAAATTGGATTAGGAAATTCTTTTTAATTTGGCACTGAAGCGGGAAGGTCTAAACAGGAAGTCAGCCTTCCGTTTCTTGTAGATAGATTAAAGCAAAGACATGGCAAACTAGAGTTCAGAAAATCGTTTGTAAAGGATCAACTTTCATCATTTAAAACTACTGAACCCCCTTCGGAAGCAGGAGAAGAGGGGGGACTTTTTCCGGATGGTTTAAACTTGCAGGAGAGAGTGTAAAGAAAAGCAATTTTCCACCGTCTTGAACCTGGGAGCGGGATGTCAGGACAGACGTTTTTGGGAAGTTCATTGACTATAGACAAATGTTTTTGACAGATAGTTAAAAGAAGAGAAACATAGTGACTCCATTGTTCTCTTTCGTATTTTAAAGGAACAAATACTGACAAAATATCTGAAAAAGGAAACTTTGTTGTTAGATCTGTTGTTAAAAAAAAAGAAAAAGAAAAGAGATTGATACAAATAGAAGTTCTTCCCCTAGAGGGAGCTTATGAAACTGTTATTAAATTTGAACTGGGGAGCTTCGCAGCTGCAAACAGATTAAGATCGTGGGAACAGACTTCTGACCTTGCACAACAATGTATTCAGAGGCTCTAGTGCGTGCTTTCTGTAAGACAAGTGCTTTATTGGAACAGTTACATGAGAAGACGGATTTGATGACTGTTGCGATTAGAAATTTTGGACAGGTAGTGGGTATCTATATAGAACCCACCCAGGAATCAACTCAGGAGTGTGCCTTGACAGATCAGATGAGGGAGGAGATTGTTGTTGGACCTCGGGTGGCAGAGATGGAGGGAGCTGTGGCCCAGCAGGAACATGAGTTGTTGGATTTGACAAATAAACTTGGAAAAAGCCAGATTTGGAGAGATAGAGTTTTGTTGGGCTTGGAGATGGGGGGCTGGATAGACCCCCCCTATGCAGAGATGTCTTGACTTTTCAAGTCTGGCAATGGGCCGTGAGGAGTTTCGGGTTGTGGGGGTCCTCAACTTTGGAGGGACTTTGAAACATGCTTTTAAATGCCATATGGAGTTCAGTGTGGATTATGGAAAAGGGGCTGATCTGTCGAGAAGGGACAAAAATACTGTCAAGTTGGAGTTTCCACGACTGAAAGGACCAGGAGACAAAGTAAAGTACAGGTATAAATATGAAGAAGATCTGCGGAAGGGACATGGAAGAGACTTAAGGGCCTCAGATATAAGGTTACCAGGTTAATGAACTAGATGGATGGGACAGAAAGGACTGACAAAACCCGGGACCAGGAGGAAGAGACGCTGGATGAAGATTGGAAGAAAGTTTTTTTTTTAAAAAAATTTTTATTTAGGATTGTTTTGTAAAATTAATGAGTATTAGAAAAATGTTGGAACGAAACTATTTGGCTTTAGCAGAAATGTTAAAAAGAACTATGCAAGAATATGTTATGGTTATGAGAAATTGGTATAAATAAGATTTAAGTTTTAAGTTCTAGGGTCTTTTATAGTAAGATAAGGTTAAAATAGATTAAGGTAATTTAATGACAGAATATTATGAAAAATGGGAAGGATTTGCTGTTATAATTAATAACTGGAATACAAAAAAGGGAGGTGTGGGGAGGTCGATGAAATAAGGCAATGACAGTTAAGGATTTGGGAATATTGGATCTGTTTTTAAATGTTTGTGGTTTACTTTTGTTTTTTGGATTTTGATGTGCTTTTTTATTTTTTTATTTTTATTGATTTGTATTGTTTGACTGTTGTTTGCTTTTCCCTTGTTTCCCCCCCCTCTTTTGTCTCTTTGTTTTTTCTGTAACTTTAAAATACTTAATAAATATCATTTAAAAAAAATAGAGTTGCTCGTTTCTACAGCATTTGATTTTTACACAGTCAACAAGTTGTTTGGTGTTTTTAAATATTTTGTTAAATCACTTTGATATTCTTTTTTTTTTTTCATGTGATGAATAAATGTAGTAGTAGTAGTAGTAATCGCTGCTTTGTTTGCTTCTGAGAGGCTAGAAAGCGCATCGCTCTCCCCTTGGCAGCAGTCAAGGTGAGCAGCCACCAAGGACCAAAGCGGGCAGAAGCTCTATCGCGCAGGCGCACATCAAGCCACGTAGCCGCGCTAGACCCATTCGATATGGAACGAGGAGAATGTGTTGCCAATCACCATAGACTTAATATCGTGTAGAGTGACAATACCTTTACACGCATATGTATCTTGTGAACCGCCCTGTGATCTTCGGATGAAGGGTGGTATAAAACTAATGAAATGAAATGAAATGAAATGAAATAGCAGGCTATGCTTACCCATTATGCTGCAGATGACTTATTTCGCTACAGCTCCCAGCATTATTTGGGAAAGCAATTACTCTTTTTTTACTGTAAATCGCCGCGTGATCCTCGGATGAATTTAACAAGTAAGTAATAATAAAAAATAAATAAGTGGCGTAAGAGTGCTTTAAATGTACGGTTTGGTCATGTTGGTACGATCAGATTACTGTGCTGTTGTTGGTACAATCAGACTACCATATTGATTTTTTTAAAAAAGAATCTATTGTTTTTATCGTTGTGAGCCTCTTTTCCCCTTTGCTTCTGTTGCTATAAAAACCACCATACAAATCTCAAATCAAATGGAGAATCCTAAATTTAAAAAAAGGATGTAAGGAGTCGTAGGTCACTCTACACTTTACTATCTCTATTGCCCATAGGCCTTCTGTAAACTCTCTTGGCGAAGCCGCCAATCCCCTCCTGTACAATCTTGCGAGGGGTTACAATGGTGATGACATCGGTTCCGTTCTGCACAGGAAGTGACGCAAAGAAAAACCCCACACCTTTCTCTATCGTACATTTCCCTACCAAATCCCCCATCTCCGGCCGCGGCCCAGAGCGTCGCCTCCTGGATGTGCTCCTCTCCTTTTCATCCTCCGCAGGAACCGGAAGTAGGTGGGGGAAAAACGGGAAGCCGGTCTTTACTCGGCGCCTGCCTTGGGCAGCCATCTTGGAGGGTCGCGGCGGCGGTGGCGGCGGCGGGGAGAGCGCCTGAGGGACCCAGCGAGACGCCCAGGCTGAGAGGCCGACTCCGGCTCCGGCTCCCCTCCTTCCCCCTTTCCCCCGCCCCGAGGCCGCGCAGGGGGGCCCTGAGCCCAGCAGGGAGAGGTGAGTCGAGGAAAGGAGGAGTGGAGGGAGGAGGAAAGAAGGAGCCAGGCAGGCCAAGGAAGGAGGAGCGGGTTTGTGGGGGGAGAATGTTCTTTTGTTATTATGGGGTGCAGCTTCTGGCCTGGGAAGCCGAATGGCCGTGTCCGACCAAAAGGCCCGCATCCTTTCTAGGCCGGCGCTTATGGGGAGCCTCCGAACCCCCTCTCCCTTTGGGGTGGCTCTCCGCAGGAAGTGGGAAAGGCGCGTTGGAAACCACTGCCGCCTGCACTGGCTGGCAGCAGCTCTCCAGGGGTTCGGAGGGCCTTACCTGGAGACGCCGTCGGGGATTGAACCTGGGGTTTTCGGAGGAGCTCGGCCCCCGAGATAGGGATACGGGAAGCTCTGTTTACACCGAGTCCGACCCTTGGCCCATGTAGCTCAGTATTGCCTGCACTGACTGGCAGCAGACCCCGGTCAGGGGTCTGTGGGGAGCCCACAACCTCACTCTTCTACAGGGCTTGGGGACAAGGTGCGTTGCAGTTAAGTTTCTGCTTATATTACAGATTGTCGCTTTTGTCCTTCTCAGAGTAGGTGCATAAAAACCAATGGACACCAATGACCAGAGATTCATTGATTTCGACACGTCTTAAGTAGATCTTACTTGGTTGCTGTAACCCATTGGGCTATGTATATAACCTAGATTTACTTGGAGTAGGCCCATTTGGTTAATCAACCCATGTTTATCAAGCCTATTAATTTCAGTGAGTCTGCACAGAGCAGGACCAGCACTTTAAACCACCTGTTGCATTTTTTGATTCTGGGGTTGGACTTTTAAAATGTGCTAGCTAACTCTTAATCTTTGGTAATACTTTTTAAAACTTTTAAACACTTGTTTTGTATTGTTAGCTGTATGTTAAGCTTCTTGCTTTGTGAGGAGATTTGCTTAAAAAGTGGGTTAAAACCTAATAAACAAACAGGGCATGTTTGCAACAGCCCTCCCCTGTGGAATGAGCTCTAGCAGCTACGGCTTCTGTCCAGTGCTAATCCTAGTTGGAGTTGACCCATTGAAATTAATGGGCATTCCAAATTTAGGTCCATTGATTTTAATGGGCCTGCTCGTGGATACAACTCAATATTTAGAGATCTTCTGTCTCTGTACACAGATGTTCTGCTCTGTTCCTGTGTATCATGGCCAAGAACCTCAGAAGAGACACCAAAAGTTCTGCCCGGCTCAGTTTTCTGTTTCTGACAGTGTTCAGCTAGATGCCCCTAGATAGCCAATAAGCAAGACATGAGAGCAACGTTTTCTTCATGTTGTTTACTCCTCAGGAACTGGTAATTGATATCTTCTGTAGACTGCTTCTGGTTCTTTGAGAGCCGTTGCTACCCAGAGTACTTACCCTAGGCCATTGTGCCATTTAGCTAAGGCAGCTTTCTCTGACTTAATGGAAGGGCCATGCATAGCTCAGTAGTAGAGCTAATGAGATACATATAGAAGATCCCCTGTTCAGCCTCTAGAGCCTTCAAGTAGTGCTGGCAAAGGCCTTATCTGGAACCCTGAGGAGCTGCTGCCAGTGTAGACTGTACTGAGCTAGACAGATCAGTGAGCTGATCTGGCGTAAGGCAGCTTTCTATGTTTTTGGGGGTTCTGTATAGCAATCATGATTGGTAGCCATTGACAAATCTAGGTGATTTTGTCTAACGTTTAAAAACCCCCATCAAAACTACTGTATCTCTCTACTCCTGCACTTCCATCAGAACTTTTGTATTACTTCTTCAGAAGATCTAATTTCCATCCAGTCCAGCACCCAGTTTCTCACAGTGGCCAACCAGCTGCCTCTGAGAATCAGGATCCGAAGCCCTTTTCTCCATGTTGTTCACCACAGACAGCTGTTCAGATGTATTCTTCTGCCTCTGATCCTGGAGGTGGCATATAGTAATCACAACTAGTTGCCGTTGAAAGCCTTATCCTTCTGAATTTGTCTCATCCCCTTTTAAAGGAATCCAAGCCAATGGTTGTTGCCACATCTTGCAGCAGTCTGTTCCATAAGTTAAACATGCAACTGGGTGCACTTCTCATTAATGTATTATGCATTAATGTTACATTTTTCAGACGAGAATTGGGCTAGGTGTAGGTCATCCAGCTTTAAAGAGCTGGTAACCTCCAGCTCTGGTTGTGTAGTGAGATGTTCCACTCTCTCGCAGCTACTTAGATAAATACCTAGCCAATTTCCAGTGAGATCTCACCAAAATCTTGCAATAGCTTGCCGTAAATTGGCGCCTGTGCCAGCGGTGCTTCTGCGCCAGTGGCAGAGGTGGCATGGCGGGCGGTCTGGGGGCGGTGCAGCAGAGCAGGGTGGCACTTCCCATTTCACCTCAAGCGGTGAAATGGGACATGCCGCCCCTGAGGTACACTGCCTCTGACCATGGAGGTTCTGGCCTCGGCTCTCATGGATGATTGCTGGTGTTTGGCACTAGTTCCCAACAAAGTATTTGATCCTTTCCTAATAACATCCTCGGTACATCAGACCAGCCTGTGTAGTCATCACATTCCAGAGTGGCCATTCAAATGACTGAATCTTAAACGCAGCAGCCTTCTGTGTTGTTTGTCACTCTGCCACTTGGTCTCACTTCCTCCGCACCTGAAGGTTTTAATCCCAGCAAATCAGCTGCCCAACTCGATCAAACCAAAGGCCCATAAAGTCCAGCAGCCTGTACAGCCCACATGACTCTGGGATGCACACAAAGCAAGAAACGAAGGCCAAAATGTTCTGTCACTCCTTGACCTCAACGTGTGGTCTTCAGAGGTGCACTGCCATTGAACAAAGAGCTGTCCTGCCAAATGTCTGGGATCTTTGGCACGGGTGGGGGTTAAGAGGTTGCCTTTGAAGAGTTTCTGGATGTGGAAGGGCAGCCATCGATTGGAATAGCTGATTCTTAGGCCATGTACACACCATATGTTAAAGCACGCCCCCTGGAAAAATCCTGGGAACTGTAGTTTAAGGGTGATCAGAATTGCAGCTGTGTGATGGATTAAACTACGACTCCCAAGTTTCTTTTTTGTGGGGCTGGGGAGAAATGGCAGGTATGCAGCCTTATTAACAACAGTTAAGTCGTCTAGTAACTGCTAACCTATTTAGGGTTTTTTGTTTTCAGTTTATTATGGACCCACACGGACAGGTAAACAGTAACAAAAATCCAGTAATACAGTGCTACCTCAGGCTACATACGCTTCAGGTTACAGACTCTGCCAACCCAGAAATAGTGCTTCAGGTTAAGAACTTTGCTTCAGGATGAGAACAGAAATCGTGCTACGGCAGCAGCAGGAGGCCCCATTAGCTAAAGTGTTTCTTCAGGTTAAGAACAGTTTCAGGTTAAGAACAGACCTCTGGAACGAATTAAGTACTTAACCCGAGGTACCACTGTATATCCAACTAAATGCAGGGCATATAAAGCCTAAACATATTAAATAATAACACCCAATTTGGAACCATGAAATCCATATTCATTAAGACGGCATGGCGAGGGGAGGTACCTGTAAATCTGAAACTAAACTATTTGAAATAAAATCCCACCATATTGAGCAGAAGTGATCTTCCTGTCCCTTTGGGACCCATAACGTATGTGTGTGTTTTTCTGCCGTAACTAGGTTCCAGAGATTCTTAGGCCATAAGAATAAACTCAGATTTTTAAACGATTTCCACTGCTGTTCTATAGAGATGCTGCTGCCCACATCCATGCCAGAATTTCCTTTTGGCTGCATCTTTTCATCATGCCTGTCTATGCGTTTAGTAAGGGAATAACTGAGGAGAAATGTGAATGTGCGTTTTAATAATCTTTAATCTCCTGATAAATTTAATTCCAGAATAAAGCAGGTTTTGACTCTGATCTACAGAGACCTTTCTCCTCCCCCCCACCCAAACTTTGGTCGGTGGCTTCTCACAAAGCTCAGAAAGCTTATTGTGTGCCCATTCACCCCTCCTCTTCCTAAAAAAATAGTCCTTGAACTTCTGTGGGACAAGCCAAGCTGTTCCTAACTCCCCAACACCCATTATGCTTCTTAACGTTCATTGTGCTGCTGGATCAAACAGTCAAAACCCTGAGAGCTTTTTTGGAATATTTTCTTTGAGCGTGGTGTGCTTAAAGGGAACTTTTATCAGTTTGACCTTCGATAACCAATATTGCACAAGAAAATGTTGAGCTTCTTCTCCCCACCCCTCCACTCCTTTCTCTGAGTCCAGAAGCTGCTTCCCTACCCAGAGTGTAAAGTTAAGGCAAATTAACTGAAAAAATGAGAAAACAACTCCTTAAGAAATTTCCTGGATTCAGAAAATCTAACTAACTACTGCCCAGCTGCCAATCTCCTCTTCTTGGGCAAAGTTCTTTAGTGGGTTTACATGGACCAGACTGAGGTGCTACTGCAGGAAAATGATTTTCTACATCCATTTAAATTGGGATTTAGGCCTGGTTTTGACACAGAAACTGCTCTGGTCACCCTGTATGTATGGTGACCTTTGTTGGGAGACAGACAGGGGAAATGTGTCCTCATTAATCCTTTGAGGGCCTTTGCAAAGGCTCTTGTAGGCAGCTGGGACTTGTTAGTGAAGGTTGATGTTCTGCAGGTGCCAGAAAGGTGGGCAAAATTGAGGGACATCGGTCAAAGTTCTGATTAGCTTGGCACTGCCCTTCCGCTTTCTGCTCTCCTGCAGTTGCTGGGTTCCAGAGCATTAGATTGGCAGCTGTTGCTCCTGGTTTGGCAGTGGGTAATAGAAGCATTGCATGTGGTAGAAAGTCTTCTTGCTGGCGCTGTTGATCTTCTTGCCATTGGCTGCCATCTGCCCTGGCAACACAAACAACTTGGGTGTGTGTATATATAAGTTTGGTGAGACAGGAACTGTGTTGTCCTTCCTGGTCTCGACATTGTCACCAGCTCTACTCCTGCAGCTTGAAGAACTTGTGCTTGAGCGTTGCCTTTTCCTCTTCCCTCCCCCCCCTTTTCCTCATGTGCTGTGTCTTTTTAGATTGTGAGTCCTGAGAGCAGGGAAACTTGTCTTTAGTAATGATTTTTGTAAGCTGCTCTGAAAGCCTCTTTGGCTGAAAGGGAAGTTTAAAATGCTGAAATAAATAAATAAGTGTATTTTCCCTCCCCCCACCCTCTTTATTGGCAGATGAGCAGCAATAGTAATAAGCGAGCACCCACGACAGCTACCCAGAGACTCAAACAGGACTACCTGCGAATTAAAAAAGACCCAGTGCCTTATATATGTGCTGAACCTCTACCGTCAAATATCCTTGAATGGTAAGGAATGGGGGCCAACTGGGCAGGGGTCACAGCCTTTTGGGTTGTCATCAATGTTGGTCCTACACGGAGTAGACCCATTGAAATGGATGGACACAGATAACTTGGGTAGACTGCGTAGGATTTCATTGGATACAGCCCTCTTCTTTATTTATGGTGAAAGCGTGCTTGATGAGATCATCCGACAAACACAGAAGCCTGTTGACCCTTAAGGGAGACATTCCATGTATATCTACAGGCAATGACCGTCTTGTCCAGGGATTGCATTCCTGACCCCCGCACATGGCAGTGGAGCGCATGCAACCCTGCTCCACCCCCTTTTCTGGCCATTTCTGGGGTTGGCGCAGTGCACACATGCATGGTTGCATGTCAGTTGAAAACACCTAAAACAGTTGTTGCCTGCACCCAGAACCTACTTACTGCATTTATATCTCACCTTTCTTCCACATTGCTCAGTGTGGCACAACTGGTCTTCCCCATTAATCTCCACAACGACCCTGTAAGGCAGTCACTGGCTGAAGGTCACCCACACTTACTGGCCGAGTGGGGGTTTGAAGCCTGGTCTCGCAGGCCTCAACCCAGCACTCTTGACCACTAAACCACACTGGTGTGGTGTGTGTGTAAATGCACATAACATGATGAGACATGTCACCCGGAGAAAATTAATTGCAAGCCTAGGATCCGTTCTCTTTATCAAATGAATCATTACCAACATTGCTCTGTGATGCCCCAAATTTAACTGAAATCGCATCCACTTGTAAGTGTTTTTAGACATGGGATGATTCTTCTACCCCACATCACGAAACTATACAGTGTTTCTGCAGGGCTGCCTATAGCGAACCTGCTTTTTGAAGTGGGGATATAATATGTAACTTATTTCTTTCCTTTTCCCTATCCCCCTTCCTTGGAAACTGTGCAATAAAAGCTCTCCCTTTCTCCCTTAGGCACTATGTTGTACGGGGACCCGAGTTGACGCCGTACGAAGGTAAATCGCAGCTACCATTTGAAATGCCAGATAAAAATAAAGCTAGACTATGAAGTAAAGAAGCCTTAAAATGCTCTAACCACACCAACAATACGTGCTTTAGATCTGTGTCGTTGCTGGTGGTACTTGGTGACTTCCCCCTTCTATATCTAAACCATTTATATACAGTGGTACCTCGGGTTACATACACTTCAGGTTACATACTCTTCAGGTTACAGACTCCGCTAACCCAGAAATAGTACCTCAGGTTAAGAACTTTGCTTCAGGATGAGAACAGAAATCGTGCAGCGGTGGTGCAGCCGCAGCAGGAGGCTCCATTAGCTAAAGTGGTGCTTCAGGTTAAGAACAGTTTCAGGTTAAGAACGGACCTCCGGAACGAATTAAGTATGTAACCGGAGGTACCACTGTATATAAATGGTTTAGATATAGAAGGGGGAAGTCACCAAGTACCACCAGCAACGACACAGATCTAAAGCACGTATTGATGGTGTTGTCAGAGCATTTTGAGGAAGGCTTGTTTACACTCCCAGAGTGGCTTATGAATACCAGTAAGACATTCCCTGTCCTCTGACCTGCAGTCCTAAAAAACACGACACGAAAGGACAAGAGAGGGGTAAAGCAAACATGGGCATCAGTCCTTAGTTCTTGCAGTGAGCTAACTTGGCTGGAATGGGAAGATTTGGGGAGGAGGAGGCCAAAGGTGCTTGTCTTTTCATCAGAGCTGGTAGAGAGCCCCTGCAGTCCGATCTCTCCCTTTTCCTACAGATGCTTCTTACTACCCTGGCTAGATAAGTTTTTTAGAGGCTCCCACAGCCCATAAAGCTGTATCTCTCTTTTTGGTGGCCTCAGGCCTGCTTCATATTTGACGTGACCAGTTTGATTGCCGTTGACAGTCATTTGTAGTTTTTTTGGGGGGTGGTGGTAGCAGGGTGTGTGTGTTTGAATTGCCGTCGGGTGTTCAGTGCATCTGCCAGGCTGATTTTGAGCAAACCTGGACCTCCCCACCTTTGCTGCTAATTGAATACGGGTTGTTTTTATTTCCTTTCTGGCACTTTAGGTGGCTATTATCACGGGAAACTAATCTTCCCCAGAGAATTTCCTTTCAAACCTCCTAGTATTTATATGATAACACCGAATGGAAGATTTAAATGCAATACAAGGTAAGTAGCTTCCTTTAATGTCTGCCCGTCCTTACCGTTACAGCCAATGACTTCAAAGCCGAGCAGTGTCTTATAGAAAGCTGGATTCTAAAATCCAATGCTGGGTGAGGGGTCGGAGGGGGCAAAGTCAGCCCTCAATACTGTTCCCCCCACCTCACCTCACTCTGATATGTTGGATCTAAGCTGGTCCACAGATCTCTTTGCCAAGGGGTCCCCCCCCCTTTTGTCCCATCAGCACAGGAAGCTAGCTTTTGCAGAGGCAATCTCTAGGCCTATCTGTATCCAGACATTGTCTGCTCTGGCTGACCAAACTTCTCTAGTCTTGGCGATTCTCAGCTTTGTTAACCTGGGATCCATTTATGTGGCAAATGAGCCCTCCTGCATAGAAAGCACATGCTCTGCTGTTAAACAAGATGCAAGGTATATTTTTGAGCCCAAGGACCTGAGTATTGTTAATTTAATTTCCTTCCTTCCACTCTTACGTTCCCAGAGTGTGGGTTGCAAACAATTTTAAATATAACTTTAAGAACAGTTTAAAACAAATCACAAACAATCTGAGGTGTCAGAGGCCAGGCTGAAGCTTTGCATCTTCAAGAATTATATGCGATCTAAATGGAACCACAGCCAGGAAGCTGGCTACTACATTTTAGCCCAGTTGGAGCTTCAGCGCCATCTTCAAGGGCAGTCCCACATAGAGCACATTGCAGTAATCCAGTCGGGGGGGCGAGTTATAGCTTTCCCTTCTAGGCAGCCTCTGGGTGTGAGTGTGTGCATTTGCCGGTGATGGGCAGGGCCGGAGGCAAGAGTAGATTGAAACAGATAAGATGGCGATGGGACCACATGTGAGCTCTCTTTTCTAGTCACATTTTAAGCTGTCTCAAGTAGACAAAGTAACCTTTATCAAATCCTTCTGAAACCGACTGGGAGCGGCCAGCTTCCACACTCTCAAGCCCGTTTTAAGACACTTCACCTCCTAGAAAACTCGTGCTGTATAAAGAGCTTGGGAATTTGCTCAACCCTTTGGGAGATTTTGGCTTAATCTGCAGCAGAGACCAGCAAACTTGTTTCTTTGGAGGGATAAACAAAGTGTTTATAAAGAACTCCTCAGTGCTAGCTGACGTTATCGGTGCTCGAGGACACCATCATAAACAGGGAAAAGGAAACAGAGAGAGAGATAAAGATGCAAGAGAATGGATAGAATTTTCTCTCGTGTAGGGAGGTCTTTGCAAAATCTGAAATAAGTGTCAATAGATATTTTGTTAATATCCTAATGCAACCTTTGGTTAAAGAACCACATGTCACTTGCCAGAATATAATGTGCAGAAGGTGAGAGGAACCTTGAAAGTACTTTTTGGAGGATCTGCTGTATTTGAAAGAGGCGGAAATAGCCAGTGGATTGATAGCGCTGCACTGGGGTCTAATGACTGAGCTACAGTTTCACGCTTGCTTCCTAATCAGGACTGTTCTTACTGTCTCAGATACCTATATTGAGGTTTATGTGCCTTGTTGTCTCATATACCTTGTGTCATACATTTAAACCGTGTCCCGCCCCCAAGAATCCTGGGAACTGTAGTTTACGCTTGATAGAACTACAATTCCCAGCAACTTTAACAACCTACAGTTCACATGATTCTTTGGTTGCGGGGATGCAAAACATGCTTTCTTTCTCTTGTTTAAATGAGTGGGGTTTTTGTGGTGGGAGGGAGGCGGTTTGGTAAGAATGTAGTTCTGATGCTCTTTGGTGGAGTTTCGTCTAATTTTGTACTGACCTTTTCCCTTGCAGGTTATGTCTTTCGATTACCGACTTCCACCCGGACACGTGGAACCCAGCGTGGTCGGTCTCGACCATCTTAACAGGCCTTCTTAGTTTTATGGTTGAAAAAGGTCCCACTCTGGGCAGTATAGAAACGTCAGAGTTCACAGTAAGTAACCTCCCAGGGCAGGATCTGCTAGCTGCCTATGGAAAATAAATAACTGAATGCTGCGGAGGTCCTCCAAGGTTCAGTTGTTTCATTTGCAAAAATGCCGGCTCCAAACTGATGCCCACCTTTAATTTTTGTTCCCCGTCTCTCAACAGAAAAGGCAGCTTGCGTCGCAGAGTTTAGCATTTAACGTCAAAGACAAAGTCTTCTGTGAATTATTCCCTGACGTGGTGGAGGTAAGCTTGAACATTTGGAAACTGGTATTAGCAAAACGGGATCAATGTGCATGGTGCAATAGTCACAGTTGGCTGTAGGTTACCTCTAGTATCACAAGAACACAGGAAGTTGCCTTATACCAAGTCAGACCATTGGTCCATCCAGCTCAATATTGTCTATACTGGGATTTTGGGATGGAGTCTATCCCCCCCTCACCAGCCCTACCTGGAAATGCCATTGGGGATTGAACCCGGGACCTTCTGTGTGCATTGCAGATGCTCTGCCACTGAGCTCCTGGTTCATCTTAGTTTGGCATGTCTGCACTGACTGACTTGTTGCCCAAGGTGCCATTCGGTGTCACACAAGCTAAACTGACCAATGCATCTAAACCAGTATAAGACGGCCTTTCTGGGCGACCTTGATGGCATCAATTTTATTGCACCTAGAGGCAGGGGGGGTACCTAGGAAGCTGCCTTACACTGGCTCAGTACCTTGGTCCATCTAGCTCGGTATAGTCTACACAGACTGGCACCTTGTACGCCTCCTTCCGGCAACTCAGGACCACAGTACCTCTTTCCATATGAACCTACCTGGACCCTGAGATCATCTTCTTAGGCCCTTCTCCCTGTGCTGCCTCCTCGAGAGAACGGGCCTTCTCTGCAGTGGCTCCCCATTTGTGGAATGCTCTCTCCAGTGAAGTTCTCCTGGGACCTTCATTATGCACCTTTCGGTGCCAGGCAAAAACGTTCTTTTTTAACTTGGCCTTTGGTTGATCTGATTTACATCCTATGCCCTTTAAAAAATTTTTTTTTTTGGAGTGGGTTATTGGGTTTTTGTTTTTATTTATTTTGTGGTTTTATGTCTTGATTTTATTCTGTGAACAATCCTACACCAGTGTGGTGTAGTGGTTAAGAGCGGTAGACTCGTAATCTGGGGAACCGGGTTCGCGTCTCCGCTCCTCCACATGCAGCTGCTGGGTGACCTTGGGCCAGTCACACTTCTCTGAAGTCTCTCAGCCTCACTCACCTCAAAGAGTGTTTGTTGTGGGGGAGGAAGGGAAAGGAGAATGTTAGCTGCTTTGAGACTCCCTAGGGTAGTGATAAAGCGGGATATCAAATCCAAACTCTTTTCTTCTTCCTGAGACTCCCGAGTATAGGACAGTATATAAATTCAATTAACAGCAACAACAACAACTGCAGCCAAGCTGGTGCCAGATGTGTTTGCTCTGCTTTCCTTTGAACTGCATCAGTGAGGCCAAGAGGCAGGTCTTGTTGTCTGGGCAGCCCAGGACCTCCATACAATGCATACTGCCCAGGCTTGTACCCCAAGGAGGTCACTTCAGCACTGCTGACACAGCAGTTTGACTTCACCCCAGAGGCGCACTCCACTGTCTCTCGAGACAGACTGGTGCCAACAATGCAAATGTTGTTTGCTACAGTTTACGGACCTAATGTGGTGCTTTTGTTTTTATGTAAGTTGTTACACTAAATATTAACGTATAATACGGTCCCTGCCTCTCCCCCCCCCCCCCCCCGGTGATATTATGTATGTGCACATGTTTCTCTTTAACGCAAGTTGCTTGTAGACCTTTGGGCGGCAAGTGTCTGGTATCTGCAATAAACAAATCGGTTTGTCAGCGCCAGCACAGACGTTGCCCCTCTCTGATCTCCCTTCCCTGTTTTTCCCCGTCCCAGGAAATCAAGCAGAAACAAAAGGCGCGAGAAGATCTCCACAGCCGGCCCCTGACCCTCCCGCTCCCGGACGTCGTCCCCGACGGGGAAGCCCACCACGTCCAGAACGGGCTGCCCCTCCTCAACGGTCACATCCCATTGGCCGCTGCCAACAACCACCCTGGCCTGCAGCAGGCCAATCGGAACCATGGACTCCTGGGCGGAGCTTTGGCGAACTTGTTTGTTATAGTCGGCTTTGCGGCCTTCGCCTACACGGTGAAGTACGTCCTGAGGAGCATAGCGCAGGAGTGAAGGCGCTGTTTTTCCTCCCTCCAACCGATCCACCTACACCCCTCCCGGTTCCAAGACCAAAATTAGTGGTAGCGGCAGGAAAACAAAACAAAAGCGTATGGGACTCCCTAGGTATCTTATTCCCGACTCTGGGATAAATACCGCGATGTACAGGTAAAAACTAAAGTTTGGCTCATGGGTTTAGTTTTGGGGATGGGGGAAGGGGGGGAAAAACAACCCACCTTTAAAAATTTGTAGCAAATGCAGTTTGGGGCAGAGGAGAAGAAGAAATGAGTTGCGTCTCGGAACAGGTGAAGTGGGATTTTTAAAAATAGACTAGCCAAGAGGAAAAACGGTTTCTGCCTACCTCTCCCTCCCTCCCCGCAAAATGGCATTGTTGTGTTGTTTTTACTTACCTCAGAATCAGTTCTGGAATTCTTCAGCTCTTTTTCGGTATTCACTTGGATTTGCACATTTTGGAGACACCAGGGGGTTCCCTATGTCACGCCAGGGTGGGAGGGGGAAGGCTGCATAACCCTCCAAATCTGCCAGTTGACCTCTGCATTCTCTCCTTCCGCCTTTTGGTCTTTTTTTGACTCAGTAGACTGCCAGTCACACCTTAGAACTTCCTGTTGTGTGAAGTGGTTTGTAGAGGAGACACAGAGGAGATGGAGGAGGGTAGAGGAATAGTTGAGCTGCCTAACCCTCTCTCCCAAATGCCCAGCCCCAAATGCCATCACTTCACGTGCTGGTGCTCAGCTGTTGAGCGTGTCTGTCTGCTCTTAGGCCAAGACGTTCATCATTTTTTTAAAAAAGGGACATGCTTGATGAAGCATCTTGTGTCCTGCATCTGGGGTGAGAGATGTTTTCTTCACAAAAAGCTATTTTTCTTTTAAAAAGTAAAGATTACAATAGTGAAGCGAGGGGGAGCAAGGCACTGCTTGCTCTGCCGTCCCCATGAGAGCCTCGTTGTGCCAAGAGAGGTAGCTGGTTTGCTTTTTGCCTCCTGCCACCCCACACAATCATGGCTAGTCCAGGCCCCTCATGGTAGCCGGATGTGCATTTTAAGTGCACGTACATTTTTTTTGGTCTTGTCACAATAGTGCAAGGTTTCTTTCTATTATTTACTCCTGACCTGCACAAACTCTCACTATTGCCAGTCACAGCTGAAAAAAATTGTCGATTGAGCAGTCTGAACAGTCCGTCTCCAGGTGTCGTTTGCCTTCCTTTTTTCATTTTTAATGGAGGCTTTTATAGTTGGTGTTTTTCTTAGTTGTTACTTTTTTAAAAAAAATCCTCCCTGAAACAGCTGTGTTAAAAAAGTGCAGTTTAAGTCTGCGATCATGTTAGGGTTGTTTTGGGGTTGCTTTTTCTCCCCCCCCCCCCCCGCAATCGGCCACCAGGTGTAGCTGTTCAGTTAGAATTCATCTCTCCAAAATGCAGTGCAGATTTCGGAAGACTTTCTGTCGACATCGAGCATGTGGGGAGCAAAGCTCCCGCAAGCTACATCACGGGGATTTGCCTCCGGCGTTGGCCCTACTCAAAGAGTCGACCCAGTTGAAATGAACGGGTGTAACTGATTTTTGGTCCATTCATTTCAGTGGGTCTGCTCAGAGTAGGACTTTGTTGCGATCCCTTAGGCGACAGGTGGGTTTCCTGAAAGGACTGGTTTTCGCTTTGCTTTGGGTTGAGGAACAGTGGTGACTCACTTGCCCTGTAAACGCAGATCGAGGGGTGCTCCTCCTCTGCTCAGATTTTTGGAACTTCGTCTCGCTTGAACCCCAAATCTTCACCCTTATAGGGAACTATTAATCAGAGTAGCACTCAAATGAGCGTGTGGGGAAGGTGGGCACGCTTCAGCCACTGGGTCAGGAGATGACCCTCCCTTGGCTTCAAATCTCACAGAGGCCTCTGGGCTTTGCCGGAGACGCTGTTTCTTAACCAACTTGGAAGAACCTTCTCGTGATTTGGACTTTTTCAGGCTACAGGTTGAGATGGCGTTGGCTTTTGGTAGATGTTCTCCCACGGAGGGATGTTGAGGATATCCTGCATGTAGAAAAACCTAGCATGGGACAGGTGTCAACCTGGCAGAGGGTGTGTGAGAGAGAATTCAGACGTGTGCATCTTCCACCCATAATATGACAGCTAGGAGCAGCACTGAGCTCCAGATTTTGTAGGGGGTTGTGACTCTACTTGCTCGTTGCATTTTAGCACTGCCCGCTCGGTGTGATTGGCTCCCAAGGCCTTGGCAAATGTGGTCGGAGGCCTGGTGTTTGCAGCCGCCGTCCCGACTGCCTTGGGGACCCGATGGTTAAGCGACCAAAGTTGCTGGGCCCTCCTCTGTGGCAGACATGTGGGAGGCCTGTGTCCTGCCAGGTGTTGCTGAAGTACAACCCCAATCACCCCATGCTGGTTGGGGCTGATGGGAGTTGTATAGTTTAGCAATATATGGAGGGCCAAAGGTTCCCCTAGCTCTGCCACTGTAGAATCTTTTCCCGTGTCAAAGAAAAAGAGCATGTCACCTAATAGCTGAGATGTGGTTTATGGCTGGGTTTGAGAGGCCCCCGCTCAAATCTTTCCCAAATCCTTTTGCCTCAGCCCAGAGGCGAATGCTAGTGCCTTTTCCAAATCGGCCGTGGCTCACTTCATAAAGTCACAGGCTTCTCGATTTCCAACTTAACAAAGGAATATTGGTGAGGTTGAAAGGCTCTTAGACTTCTAAAACCCACTTCATTCCTTTTTTAAAAAAACCTTTGCCACAGGCTCAGAATAAAGGGGGACTTCCTGAGTATTAAGAATGTGATATTTCCCCTTTCTCTCCCCCTCTTAAAAAATAAAATAAAATCTAGGCGGCTGCTTTTATTCCCCTTTTGTAGGTTTTAAAAAACCCACCCACCAAATAACTTGATTCCTGGTTCTGCTGGATGATTTAAAGTAGTTGCAGGGGGTGGGGTAGCAAAAGCGGAGAGCATTAAACCCATGAGCCATGTAGCTTAGATAATCAGTAAATATGTGCTTTGATCAATTTTATCTGCAAATAGGTATGGAATAGTTGAAGCTAACTGGATAGATCCATATCTTTGGAAAGGAGATCTTGTAGTGGGGGCGGGGGGGGCGGGCGGTGCAGATGACGTGCGGTAAGGAATGACTTAATATCTGTATTTATAAAAACACTTTGGAGATTTTGTGTTTATTTTCCTTCTCTCCCCCCCTCCCCTTTTTTCCCTTCCTTTTTTTGATTGAATTTTATTTATAATCGTTCTTCAAGTCGGGCTCCTGTACATGCTTTTCATCTGCTCTCTCAGCACGAGAAGATCTTAAATGTATCTGTTTCTACAAAGGCTTCCGTCTTCTCTGTTAGGAACTGTGTGGTGTGCTTTTTATCTTTGTTTTTTTTAAAAAGAAAGCCTAGGGGCTGAGGATCGAACCTGGTCTCACTTGCATGCAAGGCTGGTTATCTGCAACAGAGCAAAGCTCACCCTTCTCCAGAGCTCTCCCCTAGGCTGAACATCCTTCCCTTTCCTCCATATACTCTGTATTCCAGCAGCAAATTCTGCCCTAAGAAAAAACAGCAGCAGGTTAACAGCAGCTGAATTCCAAGGCTTTTCTAGAGTGTCAAAATTCAAGCAGATGTGCATAGCTAAACTAAACATCACCTGTTGCATTGTGATCATGAGCTGTGAAGGGTCTGAAGCCCTGATGGGTAGGGGCAGCTCAGTATCCTTATTTTTTTATCTTACAGCAAATCCTCTCCACTCATGTCCAGCTGAAGCTTGCAACAACAAGATCTAGAAACTTGAGCTTTTTGGCCGGGGGGGGGGGTGCAGATTGGGACCAGCCACAAACTCACCTTTGTAGTAGTAGTTTGTGTGTGTTTTATTTAGATTGCATGTGGTTTATGTAGGGCAGTGCAGGTAGAGCACTTCAGAACGTCAAAACAACCTACCCTGAAGATTTATAGCCAGCCTTTCTGTTCAAATTGATCTCCGAGGCACCCCAGCAAATCAAAACAGGGAAAGTAAAATAACAGGCAAATTAAGTCGTCGGCAGAAGAGCGTCCCTGTTGGAAATCAGGACAATTATCTCCCATTAAAAGCCTGAGCAAACAAAATGGCTTTTCCCCCCAGGTGCCCGAGAGGAAACATCGGTTGCTAGGAGAGCAAATTTGGAGGAAGCCTTCCAGAGGTAAGCTTGTGATTACATGAGCTCTGCATTTACCAAACGGCCTTAGCTCACTGTTGGGGCATTGCTTTGCATGCAGAAGATCCAGGATTCAGTCTCCAGGTACGGCTGGGAATGTCCCCTGCCCGAAGCCCTGGAGAGCTGCTGCCAGTCAGTGTAGGCCGTACTGAGCTAGATAGAGCAGTGGTCTGTTCCCAGGTTAAGGCTGCTTTCCGCTTTTCGAATGCCCACGAGTTTTATCACATGATAGTGGGGGAGTTTGATTCAGTTCATTTTCAAGGCAGAATCCTTCCTTTCCAAAACCATCAGTGAATCAGAACGCAGCTGTTTGAACTGAAGATTGGAAAAGTGAGTCACTGAAACGAGAGATTCTCCCTCCCTAATCCTGCAGCATTTAACAACAGCCCTTTAAAGTTAGGTCGTGGTTCACACACTTGCATTGCAGAGAAGGTGCTGAGGTCTGGAGATGGCTTTTCAGACAAGGCCATTTAGCTAAGCACAACTGGAACCAAGGGGGTTCCTGTTTGCCTCTTGCTTTGTTAACTGCTAGGCCGTGCTGCCTCTGTCGGTCTCACAAAGCTGAAGTCTGGGCAGAGTTCCCATTGTGTGCAGGGAATCAGAGGCACCGCCCTCTTCGTACCCCTCCTTGCGACTCTGTCCCAAATTCCATGAATTCATGCGGTTGATACAAATTTAGAAAGGTCTCGCATACTTCCACGGTACAGTGATGTGGTGCAAACCCTGGGTTTCTGTCCTCTTCTCACCCCTTCCCTGGCGTGCCTACTTCTTAACATTAGGAATGCGAAAACTTCCCTCCTGGATCCGATCAAGAGGCCTCC